TTACTCCAAAAGTTATTGCTTTACTTTCTATAAGTCAAACAATAAAAAATGAATAAATGGTTTATAAATCTTCTAATTTTATGGATACCATTCTAACCCTATAATTCAATAATTCTGAAACAAAAATAAAAGGGAATTTCTATTTAGGTTTGAATAGGATTGAAAAGTTAAGTTCAATGAATAAGAAAGCAAATTTATGGCTTCTTTAAGTTGTGTTTTTAGAAAATTATCCATTGAATAAGTAAGAAAAGATATTTCACTATAAAGTAAACCTTTTCTAAGATTTAGTTGAAAAGAAAATAAGGTACTTATTAAACAATCTATCATCTCAATACAGATTGATACTTTTGTAATATGATAATGCTAGGCACAATTAAAATATGAGGCAATCATATGTCATGGTAGGATTGTAAAATGATCAACATCATGAAAATATTATTTTATAGGAGGAAATAGTTACAGATTATAGTTCGGTAGTATCAATCAATTTAGAATACTGTAAGGAGGGGTTTTCTTTAAGCTCCTTTATCAGAAAATTATTCAAATTGTTGCCCCACGTTTAATGTGTAATTTGTTTTCTGGCTAAGCAACTTATTTTTAAAATTGTAGGTATGATACATCTCCATATTTTGAAATTGAACATTGAGGTAAAAATATAGTTGATTTTGGATTCACATGTAAGAATCTCAAATACAATACAAGGTTAATATTGGTTAAACATTTGAAAATTCATATGGTAATTTTTAGAATATTTCTGACCTTAATTAGGTAATAAAATAGTTAAGATATTTGAATTGCTTGATACTTTATTTATAACTTCTAAATACAATTTCATCATATTTAGAATTACTTGTTCTTCACTTAATGTAGCTATTGGAGACAAATCTTCAGGTAATAATAGTTTAAATTTTATCTAAAGCTTAGAAAGACTCGATAAATATTTTTTTCTTTCTCTCCTGTAATTTCTACTGTAAGCAATGTAACAAATAATCCTACATTTTATATCTTATTTCAATGTATAAAAATTAAATCCAGTTTGGAAATGTTGAAAATTTTTAAGATTTTATTCATAAGGGCATTACATACTTAAATTTCTCTTTAATTTTAAATTTCGCTACACAGCGATAGAATTATTTTTTTATTTAGTGTGTCATTCTTTGTTGAATAGATAAGTAAGATCAGATAGTCTTAAATTAAGCCTTATTTTACTTGCATATGTATAAAATTAAGCAATATCTACAATCCATCAAATGCAGCAAAGACACTTATTATGGATATACAAATTAACCCATATTTAAAATCTTCTGTATTGGATTAAGGAGTATTAAAATTGAAAAATTTCTTCATGTTAATATTAATATACTTCTTAATTTATTAAAATGAAATTTCATACATTCAATTACTTTTCATTATGATATAAAATCATACTTATAACAATAAAAAGCAATAAATAATTTAAAAAATGAATTCTTAAACATCAGATAATTTGATGAAGTAAGGTTCAACAGTATAGTAAAATTGCAATAAAGTATTTGAACTTGATAATTTGGGATCAAATTCACTTCAGACTTGAGAAAGTTGAAATTCAAAAAAATTCACTTAAAATAACTTAATCTATTATTCATAGGATGGAAAAATTTTGAGGATGCAAGAAACATCCTTAATTTAAAAAGCGAATAACATTGATTAATTAAAATATTTTCATTGAGAGGGTGGATTTGGTAAGGATGACAAAAATTCTGGCTAATGGAGAGCAAATTGGTCAGGCCCAGTTTTTAATGAAGTTGGTGGTTATAGGAAATATTAATTAAATAATTATAGTATAAGAATGGATTAAAGTAAGTCTTATAGGGTGAATTTATTAAAATTATTTGAAGTATTATTTCTATTTAGTTTAAATATAATTAAGCAGAAATATATGAAAATGGAAATTGCCTAAATGATAAAAAAAAGAAAATTGAATGATATTATAGATATAACAATAATATTATGGATCATTAAACATAATTTATTTAGCTGTGGGGGACTATATAATAATTAATTAGGTCAAAAAAAGAAGGTAAATGCTATGGATTTGGTAATTACTTGCAAATAACATATAATGGTAAATATAAAAATGGTAAGAAGGTATTAGATGGGAAATTTTATTAAAGGATCAATAGAAGAGCAAATTTCAGTAGATGTATGCTTGAAAGTCTCAAATCTTAATGGAGAGGGATCATATGATTGTGGAATTAAATTTGGGATGTGGATTAAGTTGATTGATAGATTTCAGATTTATTCAAAAATCATTTATCATGGTGTGATAAAACGGGGAAAAAACTGATTGATGGGGACTTTCATTTTAATCATGAAGGTTAGCTAAAAATTTAAGATTTATTTATAGAAATAAAAAATCTAATTTTTAATGTGGTTGATCATATCAAGAGAATTGGATTGAACTAAGTGATCTGTTTCAAAACACCCATCAAGTCACATAAAGGCAAATATTAAAATGGTATAAAAGATGGGGGATGGGATATTTTATTTAGAAAGAATGGAAGAGAAACAAAAAAATTGATTTAAATAATAAATAAACAAACTTTTGTGATGGTGGATAGTATAATGAATAAGGTCAAAGGAATGGTGAATAAAGAGAGCTGAATGATGAATCGTAAAATTATTCATAAGTAATTTAAAAAGATGATATATCAAAATGGTAACAAAATTGGTAGGTGGGGTATTTTTTAAGAAATATCGTGAGTGAGTAATGAGGATTTAAGATATTATGTAATATAAGTTAGAAGCCTTTCCGCTAAAAGAAAAATATATGAGACATGACAATAGAAACAATTCAATTTTATATTTTATTTAAAAGAGTATATATCAAAAACAACAATGATCAAATTAGAGTTAATAGATTCAAACAAATTTACTTCTGTGCTGTTTCTTTAATGCATATTTTATAGATGTGATCTTTAATAATTTCCTTAAATTATCTATTTAAAGTAAATTTATTTTTGATCTTAATAATACGTACAGCTTCTAATTACTCAAGCTTTCCTTATAATTGTTACTAATCACTTCAAAAAAAAGTTTTTAATCGACTCTGAATATGAGGCCAAGCTATTGAATAAGATCTGTATAGATTATCAATTCGAAATTTAGTCTCTTGAGGAAATAAAGAATCAAGTTGCAAATTAATTGAGGCAGAAACTGAAAATTAAATTCTAGTAATGCTTATATATGCCCTTGTTTTTTTTAATTTATTTGAAGCCGAAGTGGTTTAAGCAGTAAACCCAAAGAGTTTAATAAATAAAGTAAATAAATAACAATAATTTATCCAATAAGTTAAATAATTTTTGAAATTAAATAATATATACACAATATCAGATTATTTAGACCTAGTACTAGTACTCTAAAAATTTAAAATTATAAGCCCCTATAGAATTATAATAATATTATAGTATATTTGAAATATTAATTCTAATAAAAATAATATTAAAACCTGCTATTCAGTTTCTAACCACCTGAATATTTGCTTAATTTCGAAAAATAATACTTCATACCTGATATTTGATATTTAATAAGATTTTCAGCTATAACTAAGTCAATTATATAAAGAAGTAAATGGATTCAAATATGAATTAGTAATGAACGGGAAATTAGATGAGTTTTTAAAATTCATTCTCTACTTTGATACTTTAGATAAAATCTCTAGGTTCAAAACGATCAGTTTTAAAAATCCATCTTATGATTTTACAATTCTGGCTGATGATAAAGTATAACCATATGAGACTTGCTCATTTAAGAATTATAGTTATAAATAAGTAAGAAGAAATATTTTATTCAGATTAGCTTAGATGTAGAAATTTATGTAGGAGAGCACATCCCATATTTATATAATAAATATGATAAATCAAAATAATAAAAAAATTAAATAGTAATATTAGACAAACTCTTTTTAAGCTAGATTGGCCTAATTAAAAAGGATTTAACATTTAGATTAGATAAACTAGCCTGTAATTGGCTAAATATGCAG